AAAAAAAAAAATAAAATAAAATAAAATAAAATAAAATAATAATAAATTCTTTAGTTTTATGAAAATACTCAAAGAAAATATTCCTTGAATCTGATTGGCTGGTAATGGCTTGAAAATACTCAATCAAAAATACTCGAATTGAAAATACTCAAATTGAAAATACTCAAAGGAAATATTCCTTGAATTTGATTGGTTGGTAATGGATTGAAAGTACTCAAAATACTTAATCGAAAATACTCAAAATACTTGAAAATACTCCTTGAATCTGATTGGTTGGTAATAGATTGAAAGTACTCAAAATACTCAATCGAAAATACTCAAAATACTTGAAAATACTAGAAAATAGTATTTGAAAAAGATGGTTTTTTGTTTCAGAAAAAAAAAGTAAAAGTATATTTTTTCATCCTCAAGTAAATATAGATACAACAAAATACATTTTAACTACTTCTAAAAATATTGACAACAAATACAGATATAATTAAATATCTAGATATTATTGAAAAACTTAAACATCGTGATATTAGTGATGAAGAAATAATAATTATAAATCGTAAACGAAAATTAGATTCAGTAAATCAAGAATGACAAACTAAAAAACAAAATATTAAAAATTCTACTAATGATTTAGAGAATGAATATAATTCTGATTTATACTTAGATGATTCTAACTATACACGTAAAATGAAAAAAGGAAAATTTAAAGCTATTGATATTGATATGGTTATCGATATTTAGACAACAAAATAAAAAAACTGATAATTAATTTAAGTTTATTGAAGATAATGAATTAAATATTTCTAAAAAAATATCATATATTATTTTTCATAAAAAATTATAACAACTTCTTTATCGATTCTTGCAAATACAAAAAAAATTAAATATAATCCAAAGTAAACAGTAATAATATTTACAAACAAAACCTCAACAACACGAATTCTTTCATTTCTGTCAAATTTACATAAGGAACAATAAAAATAGGCCACAAGAACTTTCTATAGATTATCTTAATATAGTTAAAAACAATTAGTATTTAAAAAAAATTGTAAAAATTTAAAAATTCTATAATATTAGTTACATATTGATTATTTGTAATTCACATGAAATTATTAAACAATCTAAATACAAAATTTGAAATAAAATTATTAAATTCTTCCAAATTTCCTGCTTTGTAATGATCTCATTCATCTTCAGCATCTCTCAATACAGTTCTTAATGCAGTATTTAATTGTGTCAGATTTTCATTTGCTTCACGAATTTGAATATTATCTGCTTCAAGCTGATTTTTTTCATTAACAAGTTCTTCATTTCTATTTCTTAAACGTGTATTTTCACGAATCAACTCATCTCTGTTACTATTTAAAGCAATGATTCTTTGAAGCAATTTAAAATTTTTTGTTTCCAGTCTCGAATTTTCTGCATTTACTATTTCACCAGTAGTTATTTTTGGTGGTTAATTCATTTTTTTGTTTAAAAATTATTTTTTTTTGTATTATATGATCTTTATTTATTTTTTAGTATTGTTCTAGAATATTCTTTATTAATCAAATAAATTATATGGTGCATGTAGCCTAGAACCGGAGTCAC